CGGTGGCATCAATTAGATTGAAAATTTGTTATTATTTTGTTGTTTTCACTTCGTTCTTGATTGCTAACCGCAAAACATTTAATCTGTAAAAGTGAAACGTTTTGATTATAGAGCCGAGAAGCAGATACGAACATTTTGCTCATCACGTTAACCGTCAGAATCACGAGGTAGAGATAATTTATTTAATTGCACCTTCAAACTATTTTCCCTTTTTTACATCCGACCGATTTTTTTTCGCTTGGCTTTTGTTTTCCTTCGCATTTTTTTTTAATCAGAAATAATATTACCCGAATAATAGCACAAATTCGTGAACAATTTGATATTGGTTTCGATATCTGGTAACGAATGCCACAAATGAAATGTAAGTGTTTTGTGCAGCAACAACAACAACAAAAACTGTGCATCATCATATTCATGCATTCCATTTGGTCACGACTGCTTTGTTATTGATAATTTCTGTTGTGAAAAATATAAATTTACACTTTTTCTTTATTCAGTTTTCACAATTGATTGTATATTATATCATCATCTAAGTTAACTTTTTTTTTATCATTACGTCAAAAACATGACTAGTTTTAAAGAGGTTTCCGACAGTGACACATATTAGAAACGATTTACAAGATGATCGTGTCACGTCAAGAGGATTAATCTTATGGCTCGGGTCAATTTAAGCTGCAACACATCATCACTCGGTTGCTTAAGAGAACTTTTGCTTTTCGTCATGATTCACGTTCTGTCTACTACTGCTGCTGCTGTAGTTGTTATTATGTTGTGTTGATTTTTAAGTAGAATGTGTTAGCTTCGACCTCGTGAATGTGTTAATAGCTGTCGCAAATCTTCTAATCCACATTTTGAATAGAATGTACTCAAATTTACACGCATATTCAATATTCAGCAAAACAAATTTACTCAACAAAAGAAGGGAAAAAAATTCATGAAAAAGATTTAAAATCATTGATGTTGAGATTATTTCATTTGAAAATGACATGAAAACTTTTATTCGGACGCACCAGTGATGTTCATTCCGATAAGACTTCCTTGAGAAAATAATGCAAAAAAAAAACGGATTTTTTTCCATATTGATCGATTGAAAAGAATGAAGAAAATCAATGGAGAAAAGATTTATTGAGAAAATTGCATGATTCCATGCGGCACATTTTTTGATTAATTTATATTATTTCATATTTTTTTCCTACTTCACGGACTGTCGTTATGGAATTATTTTAATTCAAGTTATGAATATTACATAATTCAACTGTCACACAGTTCCAGCATAAAAGTTTGCTGCGAAGCGAACAAAAGACAAAATGAGTGAAAAGATTATTAACACCATCGAATTAAATTAAAGTATGTTTTTGCCATGCAATTGCATTGTGCATATGCATCTTTTCATATTGGAATAGAAACTGTTATCAAATAATGCATAATATAGTGCTGAAACGGTGGAAAAGGTGTGTGTGAGAGAGAGAGAGTGAGAGTTTGTGTGCATTGAACAAGTTGTGAAATGTAATATCATTTGCGAACTTTTTATGATTGAATAATTTCATTCACGATTTCAATCTATAACAAATACACGTGCCGACTTTTTTGTAGTATTTCGAATGTATTTCGTCTTTCGTTGGCATACGAATAAAACGAGCGACAGCTGTTCGTAGCTGGCGATCATAGAATATTTCTTCATCGGAATCAACATAATAGGTGTTTTTCTAATATTTTTTATACAATCGTTTTATTTACACGCTTACCTATCCAAAAAAGAAAATTATACTATAGATAAATTTTCGATTAAGAAACCACCACAGCTTCAACCCAACACTCCTTCTATTTTATGATCCGTTCACAAAACACCAATTAATAAATTCAAATATCCAATTTTCGTTCAAAACTTATGGCGAAAATATAACACTCTTCCAATTAAAAATTTCGAACTTATTAATTCATCACAATAAAATAAAACATTTACAATAAACCAGTCAAGTTGTATATTTTGGTAATGGTTTCAGTTACTCCCTCAAATTAATTTGATGAAATACTCAAACCGGAAACGTTCCGACTTTCTACTCTGTAAATTATACCTATGAAAAATATAGAAGGTTTTCGTTTTGAGTTACATTATTGCGACTTAATGTGTCATGGTAATAATTAAAAAAAGAGAATATATTTTAAGTAAAAGCGGAAACCAATATGCATTTTTCACACGCTTGAAGTTTTTATGAACTTTTCGTAGCCAGGTATTTCTAAACAGCAGTATAAGCGGTGAATAAAATATAATCACTTCCAACATCTATTTCGTTGACATACAATAAAAAGGGCAAAAATAATTCATTTTAGCATTTCCGATAAGCCAATCGAGAACCTTGTTTATCACTTCTATAAAATACACTTATTACACAATTGTATAGAAAAATTTTTGCATGCCATTTCCATTCTGATAAGACTTAAAGATTAAGAGAACGTTGAACTTGGCTGTTTACATCATAGAAACAAGCATGAGCATTCATAAATACAATACCTATATTTGCAAGAAAATGTAGGAAGTCCACACATGCGCACGGTTTTTTTGATCAGGGGGGGTCAAATTGACTCTGGTCTCGAGGGGGAGAGGGTATTTCTATGAAAAAACTAAAATAACAATTTTGCATGAAAGAAACAAGTAAAAATGCGTGTTGGCGAACGAAGCAAGCCGAAATTTCGCAAGATTGACTTCAAAATCAGTGTATTTTTGCTATTGTTTATACATTTATATTGCAAATCTGAGAAAAAAAAATTCTCAGAGGAGGGTCAAAGCGGTAAATCTCCTAAAAATTTACCCGGGGGTAAATTTTGAAAAATTTGCCTCAGGTGGGGGTCAAACCGGAAAACCCCCCAGCGCGCATGTGTGAGGAAGTCACACAGTTATTTCCTTAATAGTTGATTCATTTAGACAATTCATAGATTATTTTCAAAGCAATGTCAAAGACTTGAACATAGAAAATGAATTCAATAAATAAAAAAAGAATTATTGAGAATCCATGAACAAGCCAAAACTTCACCGGATTTATACTTTGGGTCATCAAACCTTTCGGGAGTAAAAAATTTTGTTTATTTTCTACGATTTCCTATCGGAAATGTGAGAGAAATTGATTAAAAAAATGCCAGTGATAACTAGGGAAAAAATTCGATTGTAAGCAATATTTTTGTAGTATACTGTGATTTCGAGGTTTTGCTACATTTTATCATATCTTAGAAACATGTTATATCCGTTATCCGTTATCCGTTATACTTAGAGTCTATATCAAAGTATTTTCTACATAATTCATGTACATCCCGTTCGGCTAGAATGTCAGAGTTAGAATTATAATTTTATAAAACAGCGATTGGTACGTGTTTTGAACATGAATCATAAGTGCTTGACTTAGATATTGTTCAATGTAATCATTTTTTTGTAATGCTATTATTATTTTCAATCACGATCTTTGCTTTATTTGTCATTCTACCAAATACAAAATGTTTCTTTTTTGTTTTAAGAAAATTAGTTTTGAATGTAAATTCACTGAAATACGTGTAAGAGTGGCTCAATAAATGGTGCAAAAGTAGGAAATTCAAAGGTTTTTATTTAATTTGAATAAATTGCATGAAAATCACCAAAAGAAAGAATTTTTATAAATTGGTGATTAGCCTTATCAATGTAATGTAATGTAATGTAATGTTTATTTTCTAAATATCTTGTTTGGTATGTACAATTTTCTTATGAGTTACAGTCGGTAGACTTTTCAACATTTGATGTATTTATTATGTGTAATTTAAATGATTTGTTAGGTGTCTGTGGAAAATTAGGAAAAAACCACAATTTGACGGGTTTTATAAGAATTTTATAATTTTTGTTTGATTTTTAAAAATTTTTGAGAGCTTAAGACTAGGGAAAATAATAAAATAAAAATTGGATGTTGTAAACTTTTAGTAGTTATAAGAGATCAATTTCTCTTATTAAGCTAAAATCTAAAATTTGACAGTTTTGAGCGAACTTTACATTCAAACTTTCTATGAATTGATGAAATAGACAAATTCCTGTGATTTGTTCCATGAAAACCCAATTTTTTCATGATAGAAATTTTGATATGATAATATCTTGATTTTGAGTGAAATTTTCAATTGTTATCAGTAAAATGATCACGTAAAACATTCGGTCTGGTTAAAAATTGTTCATAAAAATTAAATATAACACAAAAACAAATAAACATTTACAATTTCATAGTTAAATCGTGCAATATTTCGATGCGCAGTGCGCACTCATGATGTAAATGCCTTCCACCCTTTTCAACATGCCGAATAATAAATCGTGCAAAAGCAGTATGATTATCGCTGAAAAAAGCGCGCGCTATGCACCGATAAGGAGACTGCATTCAATTACAGTTTTATTATGATACATGTTGTATTATTTTGTCGTCTGTGTTCAACAGTCTGTGCTGAGTTGTTGACATAAAATATAAATAAATAGATAGATATCTAGAGATATTTTGCAAATAGCGCCTATTTAACGCATCTTTTCGCTCGAGCGCTGTGTATTCTAAACATAAGAATGGTATCGTTTTTTGGCATAGCAGCGTCTGGAGATATCTATTTATCTATTTGCATTGTATGGTTGTTGCAATCATTAACGCAAAGGAAGTGAACTAAAAGAGAAAGATTGAGATGGAGTGTGAGAGAGAGATTGATGTCGCCAATATTTTATTGCAAATTAGTTAAATAAAAGACTTGCATAATAAGATTCTGTCGTTCGTACGAATAGTATGGTGTAATGAAGCGATTATCCTTTGTATTTTATATCTAGAGGAATCCAATAATAATAATAATATCGTTATTAGTGTGGAACTCTAGTACTCTACGTTTACTGTTTTAATATATATATATATATAAAGTGATTTGAACATATTTTTCTTATTTTTATCGATTTAAAATAGCATAACACTCCATATAGAACGATAAAGTTATAATTGGTTTTTCATTTTTTTCATTTACAGTGTAATACGAAATAAATTAAAGCAAAAATCGAAAAATTCATGATAATTGAAATGATCATGAAAGATGCGTTTTACGATTGTACCGCATAGTGACAGCGAAAACGATGATGCCAATGATGATGATAGTGCAAGTCAGTTGCTGTTGCAACCATCGCTTCCGACGTCTTCAACCAAAACGCCAAACTCATTAAATTGCTCAACAATAAAGCTGCCAAAATCGGCCAATCAAACAAAATCCGATTACCAAAATCGGGTTCTAACCAAAATTAGCCATCTCGCTAACATAAAACTCCATCGAATCGAATACCGTCGATCGCATCGTGACAAATGGAGTCGCATAAATATCGGAATTTTTACTATTTCGTTCCTTAGTGTCGTGTACTTTTGTGTATCGATGAATTTGAACGTCGAGAAACCGTCACCGCAACAAATTATTGTCGATGTGCCACCGGTGGACGTAAACTTAAATGGACCAAAAGGTAAATCATATATTAAGATGTGCGATTTTGCATGATTTATTGCTTGAATCATAAATTACATAAACTTTATTGCCAAATTGAACATTTTCCTATATATTTTCAAGCATGAATATCATTTTTTTGATGATTCTGGGCGGCAGCTTCAACATATTTTTTAATTCTTTTCGTTATGAGTAAGAAAAAAGAGTTTTCCGGCATTCCATAAACAATACGAAATTTATACATCATTGCATGTTTAATTAATGTAAATGCATCAAAGCGTTTGTTTTATTTAGATACGATTTTCATCAATAAAATTGTACACACTTGCTCTGTCGCCGTCTCTCCAATCACAGATGGAGAGCTCTGATTGGCGCAAATTGTATATTCATCGTATTATATATGAAAAAAGTTTTTCACGATAGTGAAGAAGAGACGGAATTATCCATTAATAACGGATAATATCACGTTTTTTCACTTTTATACAAAATCAAATGAAAAATTCAAAATTTATCCCATGAAATAATGCGATTGAAAGATTTAAGGGTTATTATATTTAATACTAAGTATTCTGGTACTCTGATAATTCGGTCGTCAACTCTGAACAATTAAATCTTCTTACCTCTGCATTTGCCCCCATACCATCATCATTCATTCATCATATGCGTGCTGTAATTTCACATATATTCAGAATACAATGTATGCTTCTCTTTCTCTTTCTCTGCTGGTTCAAAACCACATTCACATCGAATCGAAATGAATTATGCATTGAACATGCAGTGCGACACATACTCACATATAGATTTTGATATTGGAATTATACCGAATATCAAAATTGGGTAGCATGTCGATTCCATATGAACGAAAACAAAAAAAAACATGGACGATAAATTTGGAGAAGCGCGGTAGAGAGAATGAAAGCTTAATTTAATTGCACGACACAAAGAATCCAATCATAAAACAAATTCCATTAAGCAATAGCTCAATTTCGACCATTTCTTGACCCACTTTACTTGCTCCATATACTTTGAATAGACTAATGAAAATGAACAATAGCGACAAGTGCACTACATATTTTGTTGTTTTTGTTCTTTCTCGGAATATAATTCGATTGAGATTTCATTGAAATGAGTAATATTGCCCTTTTCACTCCTTCCAATTTGCAAAAGAATGAAAGAAATATTTGAGCCTTAATTAAGAAGATTTGTGAAAATGTCACAATGAAATAATTATAATTTCATTGAAATAGTTTTGAATGGGCCGAATGAAATCACAATTTCAAAAACCGAAGAACTTAATTCACTTTCATCCATATTGTCGCAATTGTTCATCGTTTTTTAAAGCAATTAGATAATAAATTGGTGGATTTGTTGAATTTAGAATTTAGCTTAAAAAAGAACGAATAATGAAAAATAAATTCAACCGCAAAATTGATGTGCAAAATTTAAAATATACAGTTACCGCTGATGATTTACACCAAAATGTGATACCGTTTATTTCAACAAAAACGCGTTTACATTCGACACGAAACATATCAACGTTATATTCACCAATACGATTTAACTCATCTTCGAACACATTGTCGTCATCATCATCATTATCGACTGCCGCTTCCCCACCGCTCAATTACACAGTTAAGGACGGATATTTAGTATGGTCGCCCAATTGTCAAATACCAGCAATAGATCCACTGGCTGCCGATGTTATGAAACTGTTTCGACGAGGTAAACACGAATGATTTATTCTAAAATGTATCGCAACATTTTCTGAATCGAATTGTTTTTTTTTTTTGTTCGCAGAAAAATATGAAGCATGTTCAACAACGCAAGCTGTAACTCGCATCGAAATGAATTGGACTACATCAGAGGCTATGCTCATTTATGACTATAAACCAAAGTGGTATTCATCATTTTTGGAATCGACATGCTGCTACAGTGAAATTATTCGCACCGGAAGTGGCAAAAAAGCTGATGAGCAATTCAAGTTAGTATTTGCAGAGAACATGATGGAATCGGACGAACGAGAGAAAACTTCCTTTTTTTAAATCATTTCCTAATGAATTGTAATTGTCGAATTTTCCAATTATTTTTTTGATTTTAGACTGTCATCTTGCACAAAATTCAACAAATCATTTTTGCTACCGTCTGCGCTTGAGTTTATATTCGTGAAATGTGAATCGATGGGCCGGACGGTTTATAAAAATGCACATGCCATCATACGAGAACGATCGAATATTCGAAAAAGGCTAAACAATTTCAAAGAAAAATCGAAAAACAATCGGCCGTTAAGTGTGCTCATGCTGTCAATTGATAGTGTGTCACGATTGAATTTGATACGAGCAATGCCAAAAACTGCACAGCATTTATACGACACTGGATGGTTTGAACTGCAGGGATACAATAAAGTAAGTAAGAACTCAATGATTTGATCCAAACAGTGTATTTTTCATTTACTTAATTTACAGATCGATGACAATACATTTCCAAATCTTATGGCCATTCTAACGGGTTACAATCAAACATTAGCATATGGCGAATGTAGTCCACGTCAAGTTGGAAAACTTGAGGAATGCCCATTGATTTGGAATGAATTCAAAGACAGTGGCTATGTAACATCTTACGGCGAAGATGAAGTATCGATTAGTTCGTTTAATTTCAATAAAAAAGGATTTGTAAAACCGCCAACCGATTACTATTTACGTCCCTATATGCTTGCAGCTGAAAAGTATTTGCCCATCAAAAAAAAACATTCGTTAACATTTTGCTTGGGCAATAAACATTCGGCCGATCATATTTATGATTTTGCCATGGATTTTGGAACGCATTACAAAAACGATGCTTCATTCGGTTTATATTGGACAAATACATTCAGTCATAATGATATATCGGATCCATCATCGATGGATAATAAGATGCGCAGTTATTTGGATACATTGGAAATGCGTGGCATATTGAATGAAAGTATGGTCGTATTTTTTAGTGATCATGGTTTGCGATTCGGTCCGGTTCGTCATTTATTCACCGGATGGTACGAAGAGCGATTGCCATTCATGTTCATTTGGTTACCAGAATGGTTTCGAAGTGAACATCCAGATATAGTGCATGCGCTTAAAATCAACCGTAATCGCTTGACGAATCCATATGATTTGCATATGACATTAAAACATGTACTGCAATTATCGAATCCAGATCATGTATATGCACCAGCAACGAGCTGTTTAAATTGCCAAAGTCTATTTGTTGAAGTACCGTGGAATCGATCATGTGATGATGTTTCAATTGCTGCACATTGGTGTACATGTACGCCATATCATTGGCACAATAAAAATGATAAAATTGTAAAAGATGCTGTGAAGTTCGTGATCAATAATATAAATCAAAGTCTGAAAAATTACACTCATGATGATCGTAAGCAGGCATTGTGCGCCGAATTGAAACTTAAAAAAGTTTCCGATGTACATAAAGCCGAGTTTCATGATGGTAACGATCATTACGATGATTATCTGCTCAAATTTGAAGTTGCACCGTCGGACGGTTGGTTTGAATCGACCGTTCGTCATCGTCCCGATATCAATGAATTTGAAGTGACCGGAACGGTGAGCCGACTGGACAGCTACGGAAGCCAAGGCAATTGCATTAAAGTCGACTATTTGCGAAAATATTGCTTTTGCACAGGCATCAGTAACCCAAAAAACAAAAAAGGTTAACTACTATACATAATATAGAATAAATTAATAAAATATTTCTTTTTCCTCCTGCGCGCTCGAGATTCCAAATCAAACACTCTATTAAGAGTAGATTATAATAAATGATACAAAAACTTATTAAACCGAAAGCTGTTAACATTTTTTTTTTCTCAAACTTAAACTTTTACAAATTAACTAAAACATTACTACTAAATGGATCGTATTTTTATCGCGAAATGTCCATTCGTCAAAACCAATGACAAATTCCTATACTATTATATACAATATAACATACTACGAAATCAATATTAAATAAATTGTGTAAAAGGAAAAGAAACGCCAATATTTTATTAAATGTGTTAGACAAAATCAAAGGAAGAGTTGATGTAGATGGTAGAGGAACAGTGCTTTACATAACAGCAGTATTGTAAAGCAATTTAATGCATAAGGATTATATTTATATATGAATATCGTAATTATAATTTAACTGCATCTCTAAAATTTTATTTCAAATCTGAATGTAATCGTGTAGCAAAAAATGTGTATCGTACTGCTGACAAATAATTGGTGATCATGACAAATTCTTTTGAATTATAAAATTTTATTTTAAGATGAATTTACTTTATGTAAATTATTTAGTCGAAAATATTGAGTAATTTCTGTTTTCAGAAATTAAATGTAAAAAAAATGATTATTTTTGTTAATTTCATGTTAAAATGAATGGATTTGATGAGTTCAACCAAGTAAATCAAAACAATAAAGATTTCCAAAAAAAACCGTCTGCTCATTGCTCTATTTTCTAATGTTTTTACTTATTTTTTGGTCAATGCAATGGTCAGTGCTATTTCGTATGCTGGAAAGAAATTCGGAAAAGTAAGCCTTATTTTAAATGCAACTCTTGCTGTAACCTCATATGTTCCCAATCGCGAAATGAATTGTTCAATAAAGAAATTACACTTTTTATTGTTCAGATTCAGAAAATAAGAAAATTTTAGAATTTGTTGACGAAATATGGTTCGAATAGCTTTTATTTTCATTTAATGATTCTCATCTGATATTAAGCTGTGGACGATTCATAAGTTGCATATATCTTAAAATGTAAGCACAATGTTGTCTTCTCCAAGTGGTCATATCCGTAGTGTTCAGCTGGGTTTTAAGTTCATCAAGGCTCATCTCTTCAGCTCGTTGGCGACTTTCTTCCGTTACATCTTGCTCACATCTGTTGCAGTGACAAATAAACTTCCAATTTTCTTCAATATATTGTCTGCGTTCTTCCGTATTATTGTCATAGAAAAACTCATAGTTTATGAAAAGTTGTTCGTTTTGGTTGATTGTGTGATTTGCTCTTCCGATCATAACGTTATTATTTTGTTGAAGATAGTAAAAAACGTTCGGACAGCAGGAATGATTGAAAAATGAAAAAACTTCGTAAATTAGTAGTCGTTTGAGTTGTGTGCTTTTTGAAACTTTGATATGTGCAACAATGGCATTTGCATCAATAACTCCCAAGAAATGCATGAGTAAATGCTTCAAAAAGCGTGTCTGTGACTTTAGTTTGAAGTTCATTTTTATTACGGGAATTTCCATAACAAATTTATATGCCAACGATGCCTTTTCACAGATTTTTTGGTCAAGCGGAGAAGGGCATAATCGCATAATACAATCCAAACGTGCCACTTTATCGAAACAGCCGACAGGTATACTTTGACTCAACGTTTTATCGTCAACAATTCGCTCAATGTACGATTGCAATTGGTTTACGGTTGCAAATAATGTCATTGCCTCAAGCACCATTTGAATGGACAGCTTAATATCCAAATCGGTGATATGCCTAAAAATGGTATCGCACTCAAATTTGTGGCTTTGATTATCAATTTTACACTGGATGCAACAAAAAAATACGTTAATACATTGTGAGCACTGGATAAAGGTATCATGCTCAGTTTGCGATGGCACTTTATGGCATGTCAAACAAAATTGATGGCTTGTTGGTTCAACGGCTGAAGCAAATGGAGCCGATTTAAATACTTCTTGATTAAAATGTATGCTTTGATTGGCTTTGAGAAAACGACCGTAAGTACTGTCCGATTCGAATCCAACATTTACCTTTTGAAAACATGGAAACTTATCGCCCTTATAGATTTGAAAATGTTGATGGTGTTGCCGTTCGTTGTTAAATGTCGCCAGAACTTTCTTGAATTCTTGGTATTGTTCGTCGCTGATTTCATTATTGGCCACATAGAATTGACGATGTGCACCATATGCATGCTTTTGCCACACATATTTTCCATAATCAGAACTCATTTTATTGTAGAAAATTATCTTGGAAATCAACTGTATTACTTGTTCTCATCAAAAATCGAATACAAACTGATTGATGCAAATAAAATTGGTTACTATGCAATTTTCCTTGTTTTGGTGACAAATTGATTTGTCATTTCTTCATTTAGTCATAGTAGCATTGAAAACAATATTTTTGTATCAATGTATAAAAATTGACTGGCGAAAGGAAATGTTGAGTATTTGCATAGCTAATCATGGAATCCATTGTATATTTTGAATAACTCTCTTTGGAACTTCAAAAGCCATGACAATATGTCACACAAAAATTCAGTTCGATTAGTCGCTCATCTTCAGTTACTTCTTTTGTAAAAATCAAAATAACAATTTTTAGTTTATGTAAAACTTAAAACGCTAACTCTTTATTTTAATCATTCCAATTTGTGATGATTTTTTATGACATAAATTAACTAATTTATATAAACAATATTTACAATATATCTGTAGTAAAAATGAGCAAACAAATAGAAAAAATTTCTCTCTATAAAAAAATGATGGCCGCATTCCTAAGAAGGTATACACAATAAATACGATCACGATCCGAAGAATGCATATCAAATATATAAAACTAATTTTTTTTTTGTATCTTAAATGCTATAAATACGGGTATGTTGTTTCATTGTTGTTCTTGATGTTTATCTTTAAAGACATTATCGTTTAATTTTAGGCAATGTCTCACATTTCTTATTCCTTCTATAAAAAAATGTGCAATGTTCGATGAACAAAACTTATGCACTGAATTGATGATGATTTTTGCTGTGTCTCGTGATCATTTTCGTTCCCTATTCACATGATTCTGAACTGATAAAATAACAAACTGATAAACGATATATATCTTGATTTTAATTTTGCTAGTCTCTTCACAAATTTTCTGCATATAAAATCATAATTTGTATTTTGGTTAACCCTTTTTAATCAATAGAATAGTTTTGTAAAACGTGTTGGAAAGTAGAAAGATTGAGAGAGTATAAAAAAAAATGCTGAATATTTTGTTTGAAAAAAAAAAAAAAAATGGATTCATTTTGAAAATTATATAATGATGTTTGTGTATTCTCCCATTTCCATTCTCATTTAAGTTCATATGACTGGTGCTGGACAACCTGAAAAAAAAATCACATTTACATGATCGAATTTGTATCAATTCAAATAGATATTGTTTTACTTACGGCAAACGCTACATTTCTGTTCGTCGGTGTTGTCACCGCAACCATCTCGGCCAGAACAAACAATGGCCGTTGAACGGCATCGTCCATTGCCACACTGAAATGGGCAGTAGAAATTGCTTCTCGATCGTGCCTGTGAATATAATCGCTGGAATAAGCTTGGTACACGTTCAGAATTACACAAATTTGCTGGTTCATCACTTCCATCTTTGCATCGAATGCGTGAATTACAGAATTCATATTCTGGAAGACATTCACCGCTCTTACACTGGAACGTTCCACTGGGACAACTAAAAAGTTTTATTTGACGAGTAAAAAAAGCAATTGATTAGATTAGATAGCCGATGTGTTTTCCGCTGAATTTTCAATTTACCTGCCAGCTTCTGTTGAATTGCAACCAATTTCATCTTCACCATGTGGACATTGTTTTTTTCCATCGCATACGGCCGCCCGTGATACGCATGTTCCACTTTGTTTACATTCAAATGCTTCGGCCGGACATTTGGAACTATCCAAGCATTCTTCATCGGATCCATCGTCACAATCTTATTTTCGAAAACAAAACAGAAAAAATTATTTAAATGTGTTGTTCTTTTGATGGTTTTCGGTTTAAATCATAATCACCTAATTTACGATCACAAACAAAATACCAGCTAATGCAGTGACCCGTTGATCGACATTGGAATGTATTTGGTGGACATCCAGCATTTTCAGCACGGCATGCATTAAGGATTTCATTTTGATGTGCACAATCACATCGTTTTGCTTCGTTACAGAACGTATTCGGATCGGCCAATTGACATTGTCGATCATATTCACAACTCAAACCCAACGAAACAGGTCCATCACCTAAATCAACTCGTGTTCGGATTTCTGTGTAAAAAAGAAAAAGAAATACCGTTTAAATCAAGAAAAATCCCTTTTTATTCGAAAAATGTGTTAAATCTTTTCATATTTGTGCTTGAACTTACCTTGATGTTTCAAACTAATTGACTTATTATTATATGCGCTCGGTGATATGGATATGGATACTTTGTCGGCTTTACCATCGGTGGCGGTTAATGTCAAAACTGGTTCTGTATTAGTTAGTGCCAATGGGATTGGCATCAATTGTGCTAACATTGTATCCTTTACTGTGTCATTTGGTTTTGTTGTTATTTCACTTTCTTGTGCTTCTGAAGCAATGGCAGCAGCTGTTGTGGTTGTAGTTTGACTGATATTTTCCGTTCGTGATTCGGCTGCTTCAGTACGTTGTTCGTCAGCTGTTGCGCTAGTTGTTGGTGTGTCAGTACTTAAAATTGAATCATTTTCCGTTACAGTTTCAGATGTATTCTCATTTTCATCATTGATGTCACTCGATGCATACTTTTCCGTTGATGTTCCTGTCACAAAATCATTTTCAAATTTTGTCGTTTCTTCCATTGAGCTCTGAGTAGTTGGCTGTTCATTTTCACTTGGTTCATTCAATGCCGTTGTTTGTTCTTCATAGTGATGTTGAATTTTGATTTCGTCATTGATGGTGTCTTGTTCGGTTTGCATCACTTGATCTTGTGACACTTGCGTTTGATCTTCATAAATTGCTTCGGTGGCGCTATCGATTTGCATTTCGGTTGTAAATTCTACCACATTCTGACTTTCATCCGTTTGCATTTCTGGATTGGTTTCATTATCAGCCATTTGTTCAAAATTCACTTGTTTATCGGTGGTTATTGATTGTATCTCAATAATGGGCGAATCAGTTGTTGGCATTTCATTTTCGGCATTCGATTGTTGTTCGTCCATTTCATTTTTCATGGCATTCATTTCGGTTGGTTGATAAACCGATTGATCGGATGTATTTGTATCTAAAATTTCGGCATTTTCATTATTCTGCTGAAATGCATTGACTTGTGATTCATTTACAGTTGGAGTGGTGGTATTTTGTTTTTGATTTGAAATATTCGACGCAACATTTTCAACAATTTCATAAACTAAAGCAGCAATTGCATCGGCATTTGTAAGCTGTGTATTGGGCTTAACCGTTGTTTTCCGAATATCAATATCAAACATCTCAAGCAATGTATTCGTTGTTGTTGTTTCGGCCACCATTGAATCTTCATTTTCATTTATATTTGCATCTTGTGATGACAGGACCTCTGCTGTCGTCGGAATCGTTTCGGTGGTGGAGGTGAACATTGGACGCATATTGTTGACATTGTGTTTATTTGGTGCCATATTTGAATGTGGTGGCATTAAAGTTGCCAAAAATTCGGTTGCTTGCGATGAACTATCTTGATTTACCGACAATAAATTCGATGGAATTGCTGTGGCACCGGACGAACTTAATAGCACAAAATGTTTGTCCGTGGAATCGGGTACCCGTTCAGTTTCACTCTCTTCATAAACATCATCATAGAAAATCGGAGATGGTGTTGGAGCAGCTTCATTATTCGATTCGGATTGTATTTCCCACATCGGTGTAATTATGTCGAACATTGTAACTGGCTCTGTTTGCACCTGTTCAGTTGCTGTTTCAATTTCTTCATGCATTTGCGATGCGTTGCCACTTTGTTGTACATTTTGCTGTACATTTTGCTCTTCACCCGATTGCAACTCGTCTGATTCGTCTGAAGCGCTTTCATCGTTCGTTGTTCCAAGTGTCATCGATGCAATATCTGGTGGTGCTAATTCAGGTTGTTTTACGGTTGTTGTACTACCAATTTCGGATTCGGCTACACTTTCACTTTTTGCTGTCGTTGATGTACTTGATGCAATCGATTGATTTTGATCTATTTCATTTGTTTCTGGTTCAGTTTCGTCACTGTCAACCGTTTCGGCTAAAACAATTTCATTCGATTCGGGTGAAGCGGCATCATCGTTGTCATCGGCTGCTGGTGTGATGGTATCAAGTTCGCTGACACACGTTGAACCATATTGTTGTGAAGGTGGCGTACATTGACATCGTCCAAACAAATTTGGAATTAGAAAGTCACAATGGCTGAGTGAATTAAACATTTCACATTGTTTGTTGCTATAGCACACGGTTCCTGGTCGAGTGGCTGTTTAAACAGCACACATGAAAGTGAAAAAAAAGAGAAAAACGAAACGCAACAGGTTAAAAAAGTCTTGAACAAAATGATGACAACAAAAAATAAACAAATTACAAATAAGGAGAATGCGATTTCATTTCGATATATGTGTCGCCAAATATTCCGAATGTGCCAAATCGAAAACGATTTCAATCCAAATTCTTTACACACACATCAAAAAACACTCTTTCTCTGAAGACTTCGCGAATAAAATATGAAATTTTGTATGGAATACAAAACACAACATCCATATTTTTAATTCAACAAAAAAGGGAAAATCTCTCATTCTAAATTCATTGGAAGTGGTTGCGGTTTGTTTTAATTGCGACTGGCATACGGTATGCATGATAAATCAATATGTGTATGTGTGTGAGTGACAAGGCGCCAATCATGCCATACATTAAGCGATCACGACACATAAATTGAATTCATTACAGATCATTCGCCAATCTAATTCATTAATTTGATTAGTAGGTAAGTTTATTCTTCTTTTTTTAAAGAAAAATAAAACATCGAATTAAAAACAAAAAACGAAATAAAAAAGACGTTAAACGCACACGCAAAATAAATTCAACATCCAATTTAGGTCAGTAGACATTCTAATTTGCAGTATTTTGTGCTAGTGCTCGTTTTTATGGTGTGGCACATGCTATGAGTGCTTTGGAAAAAAAAAATGTTATTTAGGCCAAAACAAAACAACAATTAAGCGATCATCGTTTTTTTATATTGTATAATACCATTCAATTCTGATGAATGAATGAATTGAATTCTTCATCAATCATCGGTATAATGAATTTATGGCTAAATAAATATATCCCAAGAAAACAAGCGCGTGATTTGTAGTCGTGATGAGAGAGACAGACAGAGAGAGAGAGAGAGAGAGAGAGAGGTGCTGAGTAAATGTGTGCATGTTCGAAGTGCGGGCAAGAGAATCACGAACTATCAATAGCAACCGGTGACTAAGTAAGAATGAGAGACAGCAACAGCATCAAAAATCGCGCAGTAGGTGAAGAAGGAATTGATGATAATAATTGAAGATCGCATAAACCGAAACATTGCTTTGGCTCTCTCATTGGAGCGGTTTTCTCTTATCTGATTCTTCAGTTCATGTTTCGTAGTATTCTGAGTGATCGACAGCATTGCTAACTTGGATGACGTCACTGAGTGGCAATATATCAGTATTGGTCAGTCAAAATCGACAGAAACGGTTTACTGTGGTAATCGATAGATATTCTTTTGTTCAATCCATTGATTTTGATGAAAAAAAAACCATTACAGCAAATTTGTGTTTCCAACAAACAGAATATTTAGCTTTGTTTGAATTGCAAACATGATCAACCGATCCACAACAATCAACTCGATGTGTAGCGGTGTAATAATTGCACACACGAAGCGTGAAACAAATGAGTGAAAAACTGGAATTCAATCGATGGAAAACAATAAATTTTTCTGCATAAACCTTGCGAGTCTGGAAGATTCTGCACTCAATTAGAATGAAATTGATTTAAAAGCTTTTCAACGCAATGAGTTACAAAACAAAATGTAACAACAACAACAAATGTATATCAACATGAACGTGGAGTGTAAAGTAAGCGAGCTATTGAGCATGTGAAGAACGTTAAAATAATGGATTTACATGAGTCCAATCAAAAGTAAGTTAATGTCGGTCATTTAGCGGCGCAAGCGTACACATTTATGCAGACCACGAGTGAACAAACGCGCGCGCGAACGAAAAAAAAATAACAATGAAGATATGAACGAAGGTAATGTTGGACACAAGAAACCAGCATATTTATATTCTATATATGTTTATTACACGTACGGGTGATATGATTACGGTGTGCGTATATATGTGGTGTGCATTGAAATTGGCCGATCTTGAAAATGAACTATATGTTGATGATGATGGGTGCTGTAGCAGAAGCTCGCAACCGAAATAAACATAAAATCGCAAGACCAATGCTAATGACGAAGAAATGTTTATGAATTTAAGCCGATTATAGCTCTGCACACATCTTCTTATGATTAGCACATACACTCATATACCGGTAATTGATTATAATTCTTTTATTGTTTGGTCATATTTTTTTAGTTTCTTCACTTATTCGCTTGCTCGCATTGTATAAAAGCCGCCTGTGTTCCGCTGTTCATATGAAGAGATTTCAAGTTGAAGATTTCCACATGCAAAGATAGAGATACAGCCTTACATGCATATATATTCCATGGTTCTTTTTTTGCTCGTTATTTATTTTTTTTTTTGTTTTAAATATCGCACAACCATGCTTCTAACTGCGTCGGCAAACGCATAACGGATCATGTTGCTGTTGCCGTTTTTTTGTGCATCGAGGCATTGCAATAAATTTTGAATGTGTTAAGCCCCATGTCCACGATTCAACTGCAGTAAGGATTCATGTGACATTTTTATACGGGCCATTCATCTTCATGCTGTACAATGGCGTATGCGGCAATCAAAAAATCGAAAACAATACAAAAAAATTAACTTTTACAATAAAAAAATACGATCTGTACGTGAAATTACAAAAGTAATTCGAGACATTTCAAGGGTTTTCCGTTTTTATAAATTTAGTTTCATGTTACGAAGAAAATTTCGTTAAAAAAGCTAAAATATAATTGGCAAAATGGCATTTTAAATAGTACATATTAGACGACGTTGTGTGTGAGACGAATGATTACTAAATTTTCAACATTTTGATATTTGGCACGAGCACGTGCGATTTTTCTCTTCTTCATTTCGCTTTGCGACACATTCACTTTCCAAATGAAAATGAAAATATGAAGTTTGAATGCGGTAGCAAGGTAGAAATGATATCACATCGAGCGTACGGTCGAATTAAAAAAAAAAATCTAATAATTAATAAAAGAGAATGAACAATGGTGGTGTCTATCTCTGGTTTCACACCTATCGTTGTTTATATTATGCCTGTCATTAAAAAAATAGTGGCTATCAATGACAAAACAGCAAGTGTCCATAACAAAAGCACGAGAAAATAAACTAGAAAGAAATTATGAACTTGCCTAAACAAAACTGAATCGAAAAAAACGTGTTTCCGACGCTCTCTTAAACTTTCATTTATTTCTTTTTTTCGCCAGATTATTTGTTTGTTCTACGTGTGTGTGTGTGTGAAAAATTACTGCCTAGCCGTAGCAGCGATGGATTTTGGCCAGTGCGTTTAAATTTATTTTGTTGGCAAAGGTTAAAGTTCTTACGAGTTAACAAACAAAAAAAAAAGAAGTAGTGAGAGTGTGAGAGAGAAAATGATTAAGCTGAAAATGTCCGACAGCAGAAAAGCGGAAAAAACATGAAACGCTTTATTCAAAAAATAAAATGTCATTTTTCTTCTTTGCGCTCGCTCTCTCACGCGCAACGCAATTGTAACAAATGGAAAATAATACAAATGCAAATGATACGCAAAACAACATGAACGAAATGAAGATGGAAAAAAATCAAGAAACGATGGATTGAAAAAGCGGACATATGGAAAACTCGATTGTACACATTGTATTTAAGTTGAAAGAGATCACACTGCATAAGCAAATAAATGTTTGTTGACGATGGGTAACGGATTTCATTCTTCTGACCAAAAGAAATTAAAACACATTCAGTGAAATGACATGCAAATGGTACAAAAAGAATACACGTTTTAGAGTCGCAGCTAGCTGAAATGTGAATCGAAAAAAATGGCCATCACTGCCGGCGCGTGCTTTGTAATTTCCACTGTGTGTGATGGTTTTGTATTTGTGCGCGGATTAAAGTGAAAATAACAGTGTCAGTGGGTATGAATTTATCGAAATTCTATGTGTTTTAGTAGCAACTGTAGCGCGGCATTGTTTTGCCAACTGCTTGATATATATACTATTTTTCCTTCCTTTTTGCACGTATCTTTGTATCACGACATGTACTTTGATGGCTTCATGAGATTTCATCGTGAATGAATGTGTATGCGCGCCGAGTTCCACATTTCGGAACATCTCTTGCCACACATTGTTTGATTGAGCGACCGTTTGGAATTGTTTCAAACAGGCCTGACAACATTCAGACCTTGGCAATGATACATGAACATGAGAATACATGTGGTACGAACAACAAAAATAAAATAAAACAAAACAACATAAACAGCATGTGAATCTAATAACATTACTCTCTCTCTCTCTCTCTCTCTCTCTCTCTCTCTCTCTCTCTCTCTCTCTCT